GGCGAGCCGGGGCTGCGGGCGGCTAGAGGTCACAGGGAATGAATGGGAACCGCGGGGCGGGGCACCGGGCTAAGCGTGCGAGCGGGGTTATGTGGCGCAAGGGCCACCCGCGTAGGGGCGGGAAAGGGGCACTGGCCTAGGAGCCTGGGGCACGAGGTGGCGGGAGACGAGCGAGGAGCTTGTCGCGCACGTAGCTGGTGTCTAGCGGCGCATCGGACGGGTGTTCAGCGCGTGTCACGGGTACAGAGGGCAGGGATGTGCAGCGGGATTGGGCGTGCGAGGGTTGGGCTGCCAGAGCGCTGGTGGCCGTGTTTGCAGGCAGGGAGGGACAGATGGGGACATGAACAGAAATAGGCGTTTGGGACACGTTTATAGAACACGGTACTCTCAAGCCCTTGCCTGTGGTGGGAGAATGCTGGCCAGTCATCTGACAGCTTCTGTTGCACCCACAAGCCGCTGCACATAGCCGCCAGGCCTTGGAGCTGACGAAGTGGGTGTGTTGTAACCTTTCACATAAAAGTACTTTCCTACTGTTATATTGCTATGGCCTATAATGTACTTAGAGAATGATTTATAATTGATATGTATTGGGCAATACATTGTTCCATTAAAATTCCCCTGCATTATTGCACTGCTTATCTGCTTGATTGTAGTAATGCCTAAAAGCGAAATTGGTTGAAAAAGGTGACTAATGTATTTCCAGTGCTCAAATGAGAGTAATCTGAGTTTTTAAATAGGGGTTTTTAATCTTTTACATGTTTAATGTACTACTAGTTATGTTTGTAAGGGAACTTCTTTCAAAAACTTCATAGCGCCCCTTTATTTGATTTAAAAAGCTTCAAGGGTAATTAGAGAATGTCATAAGACTGATTTCATAATGACATTTTTTATGTTTGCTTTATGACTGTTTGGATTTTAAATACTATGCAGTGACCCAAATACCTGTTTGTTTTTTATTACTTTAGTGGATATATGAGAGTGTGATTAGATTTACACAGACCTGATGAAGTAAATGATCTGTTTGGCGATATCTGTAGTTCAGCAAGGGGTTTGGTGAAGTAAATAGACTCTAAAGGCCTTTTTTCATTGGTGGGGGCATGTAAGGTGTGTGTGTAGCTACACACCACAGTTGAAAACAGCAGGGAAAGGCTCCCACAGCAGGGAGTTGCCAAAGCCTTTCCCTTCTGGAAAGGCTGTGCTGGGTTAAGGTGCTGGACGTGTGACATTATGCTGCTTAAAAACAATAGTGTAGATGTGTGAAGCACTGCTTTGCTACATAGAGAATCACATAGGGTGTAGTCCCAGGTATGTCTGGATTCCCATCTCTTTAGTGGTGCCTCACCATCTACATTGCTATACCTATGCTAGCTGGTTGTATGGTCATAAGTGTATGTACCCCAACACACTGATCACTTTAACTAAATGTGCAAATTGAGGTAGACCAGATTTAAGCATGAATAATCCCACTGCAGTCACAGCTTGAATGAAGTTTCTCTAAGCTTTTTTTTTTTTTCCTTTCCTCCTTACTAGTCTCTGAAACAAGATTATTCAGGTGTTAAAGTCTTTGTGGAGTCAGGGTTTGTTCTGTTGTGGAGTAAGACCCTATGCAGGTTTTCCTATGGTTGTGTTGGGAGAATTAGGCTAAATAAAAAAATATTGTCATTATCACCTATATTTTGAGTTTGTAACATGTATTTTCTCGTCAAACACTTTTTTGTAGTCAAAATGAGAATAGGTTAGGATTTTTAAAATTTAGATTTGTCCCTCAAGGCCAGGTTGTTGGCTTGACCTGTACTAAGTAATGTTGGCATTATTGATTAGCATGTGTAACCCGAGGTTAAAAATAATAAGAAATGGGCTCCAGCGCATGAGTTTTCTCATATAAACCACCAAATAGTTAATGTTGATTTTCAGTAAGTCTTGGAGCACTGAAGAATTTCCAGAAAACTGGAAGAAAATTACTGTTCCTCCAATATTTAAAAAGGTAAACAAGATAACTGGGGTAATTATAAAGCTGTCATATCTATTACAGGCAAAGTAATAGAACAGCCAATATGGACCTTGATGAACAAAATATTAAGGGAAGTTGATACAATGAATGCCAATCAAATTTAAGTACAGAAGGGGAATGGGGGGGGGGGAATGTCTGTGAGCTAATGATATTAGAGGTGGGGAAGGGGAGATGTCTGTGAGTTAATGGTATTAGAATCACCATTCTTCGCCAAAGAATCAATGCCCACAAAACAGACATTAGACTGGATCACAAAGAAAAAACAGTTTCTTGCCATTTCAACCAGAAAGGACACTGTCTCAATGACCTAATCACATGCATCCTACTTCAGAAGACATTCAAATCTGCACTTGAAAGGGAATCCTCTGAACTGGCATTCATGCTAAAATTCGACACTCTCCTCAGGGGGCTGAACAAAGACCCCAACCAGCTTACCCATTACAAAGATAGCTTCCCCAATTATCACCTCTAATACACCTTTAAAGTGCTACATAGTCCTGTATTTTGTTTCAAATAGTTTTTGTGTCTCACGGTGCATTTTGAGAAAAACACCTATATGATTAACTACATGCACCATTCTTGAAGCAAAGTTTCCGGGGGAGGGGAGCAAAACTTCCCTTTTCCCATCAGACATGTGCCTCCCAAAGTTCGCTGCTCTGAGAAGCAGGAGATTAGAGCTGTTTGAGGTTTTTCTATTTGAAACTTTTTTTAAAAAGGGCTGTCTTCCCCCCCGCCCCCCCACCTTTTTGGTTTTTTTTTTTTTTTTTTTTTTTTAACTTTTTCAGAAAGGGTGGGTGGATGGTGAGGGTCTGGATGCTGTGCCATATTCTTCCTTACTCCCTGTGGACAAGGGATTAAGGTAGGAGGCATGCAGAATTGGAACCTCCTACCTAACAGGAAAGCAGAGAATGCACACCTTTTTTTAATTAGTGGGGCAGTTCCTGGAAATACTAGCATGGATGTGTCAGTAGCTCTTAAAAAAACAAGTAGTCTTGTAGCACTTTGGAGACTAATACATATGTATTATCATGAGCTTTCATGGGCCACTTCCTTAGATGAGCAGAGTGGAGGCTAATTGAATGGGCTGTAAGGGTACGTCTACACTTGCATCCTAGTTCGAACTAGAGATGCAAATGTAGCCGACCGAAATTGCTAATGAAGCGAGGATTTAAATATCCCACACTTCATTAGCATAATCTCGCCCGCACGTTATTCCGATCACCGGCTGATTAGAACCAGGAAGTGCACTCCGGGCCACGTTAGTTTGAATCAAACCCTTTGGTTCGAACTAACGTTACTCCTCATTTTTTGAGGGAGGGAGAGGGAAATACACACACAGGCTCTGTAACTTTAAAAAAAAAAGAGTAGTATCTTAGGGTGCATCTACACAGCATCCTTAGCTCGAATAAGCTATGCAACTTGCGCTACGCAAATTGCATAGCTTATTTTGATGCTATTTCGAAATAGCTTATTTAGTAATTTGGTGCTGTCTACACAGTGCCAAATTTCAAAATAAGTTGCTATTCCCCTTAACCCTCATGGAACAAGGGTTACCGGGGATGTTGGAATAAGTCACCCATTATTTCAAAATAACAGGTTGCTTCAATAGATGCAGAACGGAAGTGTAGAAGTACCCTTAGGCCTGTGGTCACCAATAGGTCGATCGCGATCGATTGGTCGATCACGAGGCCTCGACCAGTCGATCACAAGGTGTCCTGTCCGCCCCACCCCCATTTCCCTCCCACCCCCGAGAAGCCCCACTACTTACATCAAGTGAAAATAGAGGTAGTGTAGGCTTCCCGGGGATGGACAGAAGTCCCACAGCTTAGCGACACTTCCAGCGATTCCGGAAGTAGCGCTAGCTGCTCTGCCGAGTGTACTGCAGGAGGGAGTATTGGCTCCCTGCACCACACAGGAGGGGTGAGTCAGCCCCGGCAGAGGTGCGCGGGGTGGTCGGCCCTAGGGCAGGAGTGCTTGCGCGGGGTTTCCCTGCGCCGGGGGGGGTGGTGGCCCTGGGACAGGCGTGCGCACATGGGAGTCTTCCCTGCGCCAGGTTGGTCCCGGGGCAGGCGGGCGCGGGGGGGGGCTTCCCTGCGCCGGG